TCCCTCCCGTTTTGACTCCGGCGCTATTTTATCCCTGCGGTTGGCGCCACACCCACCTGCGACTACCTGCGGTGCCTTTCTCCTGCCCTTGGCCTCGCGACCGACTCGATCCGAACTTGAGCTCCGCGACGTCGTAGGCGGGCGAGATTTCGATTTTTATTTTTTCTTCCCGCTAGGCCGTGTGCGGGCCTCGCAGACTGTCAAACACCATGCGGGGCAGCCACAATAAAAAAAAAAAGGACGCGTGGATATTTGTTTTCTTTGACGCCGCCGAATACGCGGCTTTTCGCTAGTTCTTCTCATTCTCAAGCCCTGCGCCCCCAATTTAACGAGCGCTCGGCCTTGGCCTTGGGAATCTCCCCCCGCGCCGCTTCGAAGATTTTGGCGCGGTGTAACGTGATCGCGCTGGATCCCACCAAACTCGCGAACTCGACGGCAATAACTTCAGCCGTCTGTAATCAGATCGCAGAATACTATTTGTGCTGCAAACTTATCATGCTGGTCTTGTCCCAGGTGGTACGTGCCTGCTGCGAGCGAGTGTATAGCGTTGCGTCGGAGGCATGTGGCCGTGATCAGACAGAATTACAGTCTGCTATCACTCTTTTCGCGTTGCCACATTTGATTTATTTTTTCGTCTCACGTCATGTTACTGTATCCTGGGGAAAGACCTTTTATCATGTCTCTCAAATCTCCTGAATGGCGTGCTCAACTGCCAAACTCATGTGAATATTCGGCTGTTTGGCAGCTTACTTGCAAATTTTTGCTCCAGCATTTACATGATTTTGCTTCTCCAGAAAGATTATGCTCTTAATCTAGTAGCCCACTTTCCTGGGAGCCTTAAAGTACTAGCAAAAACTTTGATACCGCAAACAACAGAACAACCAACAACACTAAAAAAAAATGGTTTTCGCTGCTTTAGCCGACGCCCTTTTTTTGCGTGCGAACTGCGGCTAGTGGAAGAAGTGGTTTGGTGTGCGGTTCGAGTCGCGGATGAGATTCTCTCCTCCACGCCGCTCGCGAGAAAGGGGTTTCGAGACGAAAAGGGGGATGCGGATACAGAGAGGAGAGTGAGTGAGAAGGAGCTGCCGACGCGGCAAACCTTATCTCCAAGTTGGCGCACGCCTGCTCGCCGGCTGGCCAATCAGACGTATCAGCTGATACTGGACCCGGAAGGAAGCAAAGTAACTCTAACAAAATCCCGCGGAGTTTAAGTTTGTCGAGCGCGCGGCCGCGTTGGTGCCGCGCGGCTCGACTGCCATGGCGGGCGAGAGGGCGAAATTATATTGAAAGGTCACGCTTTATTCTAAAGTAGTCGGGATCAGCAGTTTGGAAAGAGCGAAAGTAGTAAAGACTTTCGGCCTCGCTGTCCGTCGGAGACTCAGAATCACAGCGGTCCGCGTTCAGCTATGGTTGGGAGAGCCTTTTTGCAGTCGCTGTGAAACTCTCACATTTTTGTCTGCGTCCCCTCCCTCTTTTCCACCCTCCGCTCCCTCTCCCTATCCCTCTCCCCCTCTCTTCGCTCTTTACGCCCTCACCCCATCCTCAGGAGGCTCGCCTGGTCATCCTGTTTCCAGCCGTTTAATAGACTTTGGACGTGTAAACAAAGCTGCCAAAGCCAGAGGCCTGTCAGCTGCTTGCTTTGGGGGCGGCGTCTTCTCCTCGGTGGAAGTGGGACATCGTATCGAGTGGCTGGTAGTACCCCACGAGGAGGTTGTGGCTTAACGTAAGCGTAACGTGGCTTTGCGTAGCGTAGCGCGTCGTAGCAGCGTAGCCAGCGAGAGAGAGAGAGAGAGAGAGAGAGAGAGAGAGAGAGAGAGAGAGAGAGAGAGAGATGAAGAGAGGGAGAGAATTGAGCGGAGAGGTACCGAGCGCAGGGGGTGTTGACACCGATGGGGGTGGGGGTAGTGCGCCGTGGGGCGGCGGGGCAGCGAGCGACGAGCAGACGCCTTTGCGGGCTTAGCTTGCCTTTGACAATCCCGCGCGACCCTCTCTAGAATGACTAGTCAAATACCGGGGTACACCGCTGCTCAGTAAAGTGAAGATCGCACCTCCTGCTGTGCTGGGTGGAAAGCAGCACAATAAATAACAGCGATTTTGACGGGTAACTGTCATGTCCCTACCGATTTGGCGCCTGTCGCATCGTTGCAAAGGTTTTCTTTTTGTAGTTGTGATCGAGATTTCTTATCGCATTGCACAAAAGGTTGTCTGGCTGTTGAGGATTAAAAAGGAGATTGGACGTAAGGGATGAGGAGGAGCTGAGTTTTGCGGTGGTGTTGGGTTGGGGGTGAAAGAGAGAGGGGTAGGTGGGTTTGGTTGCTCCTGCCAGAGGTCTACACGCTGTAAAGTTTCTATTTACAGTTGTCCCCTTCCGGTTCCTTACGTCAGTGCAAACCAAACCAACCCCCTAGTGTGGCGGTCTCCGCGTCCCTTCCTAGAGAGCCCCGCACAGGGCAAAAATAATGCGCGAGGGGAAAGTTTTGTCTTTCCCCGCTGTATTTAGGGGCAGAGTGTCATAGCGGCATGTGATCGCGCCGGCGAGGTCAACAGGGCCTTCGAGAGGAGGGTGTTGGGGACTGAAGGGGTTGGAGGAGCTGGAGGGGGTCAGGAAGGTCAAGGGGGCCGGGGCTACCCTTCCTCTACTCTCCCGATGCTGCTGCTTCGTGCCGCTGCTCGTGGTTTCCTGCTGAAGCAGACCGGCAGTGTGGGGCATCCGGCTGGTTCGATCCTTTCCTCGAAGGGTGTTCTCTCCCCCCTCTACCGGGCTATAGCCGAAGTAGCGCTCCACGTTCACCTGGTTGCGTCACCCCGATAACGCACTAGTTTTTGAACAGTCTGTTATAGTTGAAAGAAAAGTTGCACAACTCTTGCAGGGGCAGATTCACTTTGCCCACTCTGGAAAAGCGGAGGTGCTCAGTCGCATAGTGCACCACCAAAGTTTCCACCGACAACAACATTCATGGGTTTTAAGGATAATCCGAGGCAAGGGGGTTCTGTAAACGCCGTAAGGACCTCCTGCCGAGAACCTCAGCGAGCTTCACCCATTACCCATCATTAAGAATGCGAGGCTTTCACTCCCCCCTCCCCTGCCCCCACCCTCGTGCGAAATTTTTAATCCGCGGATTAGTTTTTGGCGGTCTGGGGCCGAGGGTGCGGCGGCAGCAGCGGCGGCCGCCCACCGCGCGCCGCGCGCGCGGCCCAGGTTCGACGCGGGTAAAACTTTTGGCGCTCAAAGGGGTTGTTGAAGATTGGAGTGGAGATCGGGCAGAGCTTGTGGGTTGCGGCGGCGGTAGGGGAGGGAGGCCAGGAGCCAGGAGGAGGAGGTCCGTCGCCCGGATGCTGGGCACGTAGACGGCCCAAGGTGAGTGGCAGGCTGTCCGGGCCGCGCCTGTTTGCGGCCGCGCCCCGCGGACACGCTGCAGGAAATGACTTTTGTCTCGCACCGTTGTCGGCCGGGCCGGGGCGGGGCGGAGCGGGGCGGGCGTGGCCTGGGGCAAGGCGGCTGGGCGTGCGGAGGGTGCAGGTCACGGGCGCGGCGCAAGGGGGGCGCGGGAGCGTCGATAGTATTGACACGGCGTCGGCTGGCCTGGCTGATTTCCAGCAGACCGCCCCCTCCTCCATTCTCCTCTGCCTGCCAATGACCTTTTCCCCAGCTCCTTTTTTCGGCTGCTTTGCTTTTCTGGCCTGGTGCACACATCCCACCCCAACTACCATGCCCACCGCGCCTGCCGCCCCTCCCTCCTCTCTCTCAACTGGGTTGACCCTACCACCCCCACCTTCTTCCTTTTCCGTAGGGCCCTTCCGGCTGCCGAGAACCAGCGGGTGGCTGTCACACAACAACACAGACATCTTTTCCTTTCGTCAACGTGTCGCTCGCTCGCTTGTGGTTCTCTCTTCCAACGCGCTTGCCTGTTCAACTGTGCATCCCTTCCCCATCTACAGAGCAGTGAATTGCTGCTTCTTAATTCACTAGCACTTCTTTAGGGCTTCGTTTATTTGAAATTTTGGCTTTGGAATCACCCTGAAAGTACGTCCGGCATCCGCCGTTACGTACCTCTCAAGTTCGGCCCATTTGAGCTAGCGCCTGATAGGTTGGCAACATCTTGGCTGCAGTACATTTGTGTACTGCGGGTTGGCCTACCCCGAGTACCGCAGGGCGCCTTCCATGGCCGAGTGATTCCTGATTAAAACAGACCTAGTTTCTGGACGATCATGTTAGTGTCCTAACAAGGGCAAGAACTCTGCTCACCTAAGGTGCCGAATTCAGCCCCTTTGCGGTATGTTAGTGTTGCGATCCCGTCTCGAGGCGCTAAAGCGGTTTAGCACCCCGAAAAGGTGCCAAGTCGCACCTTTTGTTTCCCCAGCGACCCCCACGGTGCAGCACTGCTTGTTGTGGATGCGAGTCGCGCCCGGCCCAACACGTCGCATCCCGCCGAATCAACGCGCGGACTTCGCTTTCCCACACAAACGCGCGGGTCGGTCTCATTTTGCAAGCCGTGCACCGACTGCCGTATCGCATCGTGCCGGGGCGGCTACACTAGTCTAGTGTACACTGTACACTGTCGGGTGTGGGGTACTATTCTTTTTCATTTTCACCCTTACCTTTTTTAGCGGATGGTACCTCACAAACCTTTTGATTAAACGTAAATAATGTATAAGTAACGTTAAGGTGTCAGCTAGCTTGTTATTTTCGGTAAAGACAGAAACCAAGTGCACACCAGAAAACAATTTCTTTAGCGAAAGGGGAATCAGTGAGTTAGTGACTGAGTGTCGCTTCAGGCCCCTAACCCCTAACCTTACCCTGACTAACAATACTAGGCTCCCCGTCCCCCTGTCTCTGCTTAACAATACTATCCGACGATCTGATGCCGGCCGCTCTGCCAGCGCTTTATCTCCTTCTCAAAGCCGCTTGTACGCCGAAATTGCAAATAACAAGCAAGCAACCATAAACAAATGACAGCCAAATATATGAGAGAAAATTAGAAAACAGACCTACTCTTAAATTTGTATCATCTGCTTCCAAGATATATTTTTAATAAGATTTTATTAGATGTTAATTTATTTTGCGTCTTGTGCGGGTTTGATTTGTTCGTCGGTCTCCTCGGCGTCGTTGGTGATGTTGTGCTGGAGGCTGGCTCGTCCTCGGTGGTTGCAGCCGCAGCGGCACCGGAGCTCGGTCAGGCGGCACGCATCCCTGCAGTCCTCCGTCCCACACGCGTCCTCGCACCGGACCTCCCGGCCGCGACAGTCCTCCCGCTCGAGGCACTCCCCCACCAGGCCGTACGAGTCCAAGTCGCCGCCAGGCAGCCCCATGCAGGTGCACGTCGAGTTCTCCCGCCGCAACTCGCGGAGCCAGCCGTAGGCGCCGCGGCCGCACTCGCGGTTCTGGAACAGGCGTGGGGTGTCAGTCAGAGGTCAGGCCCGCGGTCAGGCCTCTCACGCACATACTCACTCACGGAACCCACCTCCTCGACACAAGCCGTGTACTTTCGCCAGTTCCAGGTGCTGGTGGTGCTGGTCACGTCCTCGGTTGTATTAGTCACGGACCTGGTGATGCTGGTGGTGCTGTTCATGTCGTGGGTCGTGCTGTTGTGCGCCTCCTGCGCGCACTGGCAGGCGCACTCCCTCTTCTCCACCTCGCACGCGCTCTTACACTCCTGCTGCCCTTTGCAGCTCGCTTTGCACGACTCGTGCTTGTACTCGCACCCCCCCTTTTCGCCGAAACACTTCCACCATAGTTCGGCGTCGGTGCCGCCATGGTGGTGGGCGTTGCAGGCGCACAGGCAGTTGATGTAGCACATGTCGACGCACAGGCCCTCTTCAACGCACCACGACTTGCAGGTCACATTGCGGCACTGCAACACGGGGCGAGGGCGGTCAGTCGGCGGGGCGGAGGGTGTCCTGCCTGCCTCAGGGAACAGAGACTTACCTGCCTGGCCGCGCACTCGTTCACCTTGCGCAGCTCCTCGGTGGCCGTGGCCGAGCGCCGCTGCCGCGGCCGGTGTTGGGCGGGCCCGCCGGTCGGCCGGGTGGCGTCGTTGACGTCGACGAGGCGGCCCAGGGCGACCTCTGCGGGGGAGCACGGGCCGGGGTGCTTCAGCGAGAGGCCCGACGGCTGCCTCCAGACTGCCAACCCATGGAGTGAGAACTCGGACCAGGCGGCGCACTCCAAGTCGCACTGGCTGGGGTACGTCACGTGGTCCGAACCGCACACCTCGGAGGCGGCGGGTGCCGGCGGGCACGAGCAGGCCCGGGCGAGCGGCAGCAGCACCAAGGTGGCCAGCATCGCGTACTGCGCCATCTTGAGCGCGTGGAGATGGACGGTGAACGTCGGGCCAGCAGGTGGCCCTGTCTCGGTGTCTCGGCTGTCGGTTGGTGAGGCTGCCCACCACTCACGGCTCGCTGGTGCACTGACGGCGTGCTGGTGGACGCGCTTTGATAAGACGTTGCGGATCAGCTGTCCACTGATGGTCCGCTGGTGACGGCCACGGCCACGCCGTACAGTACCGACCCCAGGCTCTGATAAGCCCATGTGGATCTGCCCCCCCGCTGACCCCGGGACGCACTGATAGCTTCACGGGAATAAAATGTTTAGTTTTTAGCAGATGATACCTTAAAAACTTCCGCTGCATACAAAGAATACATGAGTAACTTTAAGGTGTCAGCTAGCAGCTTTAACTATCGATAAGCTTTAGAGAACTAAGAGCAGAACCAGAAAGTGCGTTTTGTGCGCTGGGGGAATGGTGTCCGATAGTGAGTGTCACGCTGGTCGCGCTCTGAGGCCCTCTTCCTTCGCCCTGCCTATCAGTACAGCGCGGGATGGGCCCCTTACAATGCTGAGCGCCGCCGTCGGTCGCCCCCCTGCCCTCCCCGTATGTCCTCCTCTACGCCACAAGGCCGCCAAATTGCAAGATTGCAAAGCAACCAAAAACAAAGAGCAGCTAATGAGAGAAAACAAGAAAATTGCCCTATTCATAAATTTGTATCATCTGCCTTCAAGAACGGTTTTTGATTGAAATTTTTTTACCGTCGTGCGCCCTGATACACAGCTGTTGTTTTGCACTGCGTTGCTGTGTGCTCTGGCTCTACTGTTCCGCGAATTGTATAAATCCCAATCGGACCAGAATCAAGTAAATTCGAGGTTAAAATTCTATTACCACTTTGCTATCTGCCCTAATTCAGACTCGCGTATACCAAGCGTTATTTTGGTGCTTTTTTCAAATTTTATTTTCCTTTTTTTTTTTTTGCTTGACGTTTTTTTGGAGGGGGTTAATTAATACCGGCAGCTGCCGTTGCACCTGTAACTACCCCGACTTTATTTCGTGTCCTCTTTTGGGAACCGCTCAAATAAGAGTCGGTTCGTTGCGGGTGTGTAGAGCTGGGGGTAGCATGTTTAGAAGTGAAACATCTCCCTTGCACCTGTGCAAGTGAGTGGCGTCGGTGGCGTCAGTGGCGCGGACTGGGGTTGAGCCGGGACAGAGCGAGGGCAGAGCTGGGGCAAGAGCGGAGGCTCCCGTTGGGAAAAAGTTTGATGGGGAGGCAATTGTGTTTTGAAAGCAGCCAGTCGAGTCGGCCTGGAGCACCCTCCTCGAGTAAACGCGTCGTTTGCTGTACTGAGGCAAATATATTTTTTTCCGGGCATTTGTCAATGCTTCCGCCTTTTGGAGATCATGTTGTACCTGACCACTGTAGAAGAACCTGTAGAAGGTCTGCACTACAGGTTATTCGGTCCTGTTTTTCAGAAACATGCACATTTTTCGCTTCTTTAAATTAAAAAAAGAAATAACAATGCACGTATAACGTTGTCTATTTCAGTTTTCGACTACCCGTTTCGTCTCGCTTTTTGCGCAAAAACTAAGCGGAAGTTGCTTCTGCAGAGGGTACGAGTGCGCGGGCGAGAAACCCGAGTCCAAAATAAACACACCTGTCGAGTAGGAGCCGATTAAGAACAGTAGGATGTGTGTGCGTGTCTGCGTTCACCCCTGGCCGAGTCTGCGCCCGGTGTTATGTGGAAGTTTGGTTAGCGGCTTAGGGCGGGGGGCTTCCAGGGAAGGCCGGCCATGCAGCAATAGAAAGGGAGGATCCCGAGAAACCCTTCGCAGACATAGCCACGTTGGCTGCTGTGAGTGGCCGTATGGTTTCTGCTGAATTGTCTACCGACTCTCGGACCGCAGGTCGACTCCGGACGACCTCCATTGTTTTCCTGTACAATGTTGTGGCTCGTGCGCTCACCCTAATTCTCCCCCACAGTGGCCCGTGCTATGCTGATCCCTACACGCGTCATGTGTGTTTCTGTATCCTCTGGATAAGCCGAGCAATATGTTCATAGAGAGTAATTTTGCGACCACCTCGAAGAGAATATTTTTTCATCGTTGGTCTAAAAACAAGACATACATTGTTTGCCTGTTTTATTTCTTGCGCTTGCCCTTCTTTAAGTTTTGTGGCACACATGTCCGTGTCGGAATAGCTGGTGTTGGCCAGCAGGGTGGTAGTTTCACGGCCACTCAGGGTACACTATACTCGGTCGGCGTCACGTATCGTAGTAATAAAACAACAGGACGCAGTCTGTATTTACCCTTTCCATACCCCGCCCCCCCCCCCCCCTTCACCTGTGCACGTGCACCACGTGTATGCGCGGGGGAGGGGCGTGGCCGTGCTGTGGGGTTTATGACCCCCTCCGGGAGTAATCCGTCATCCGAGCACGCATATGCGCCCCGCACACGTATCACACGTTGAGACACATGCCCCGTATGCCTCGTGCGCCCCCGCCTGGCCCCGCGCCGCACAGGGGAGAGGGGAGCTTCGATCGCACGACGCGGGACGACGACGATTTAGTGGTCGTTCGTCGCGCCATCGATCACCGTCGTTGCAGCCCGCCACCCCGCCCTAATGAGACGAGGAGGACCGAAGGTCGCCGGAAACTGAGCGGAAATATATACCCTGCCAATATAATACGAAATGCGACAACAGTTTTAGGAAGTGTTGAGGTAATTCCCACTTCAAATGTTGGGTTGGAAACCCTGGAAAGTTTTCGGAAAATTTCAGAAAAATTTCTGGAAAAAACAAAATTTTTTGGAAAAACGAAAAATTTCCGGATAAAAACAAAAACTTTCCCAGACTTTGGAAGTTTCCCGTTATTTTCCAGAAATTTTCAGGAAATTTTCGTAAATTTTCCGATTTTTTTTTTGAAATTTCCAACTCTACTAAAATGTTTTTATGGGTGATACGTGATTTGTGAAAAGTCGAAGCAGCTATGTTCCTTTCACTCTGCGTCAGAGGTGCAGCGGAAGTTAACAGCTGTGCTTTTGATGCACACTCCACGAGGTGCTCCGACTGCAATGAGATCCCCGTAGGGCACAATCGCGAGAGAGCTGATGACACAATGCGGCGGTGCGAGAGAGACCCGTCGCCCCTTCACACCGCAGTAGTGGCTTTCTCCCGCCAGCGCCCAGTCCCCGGGGGGATCTACGCGGCTGCTGGGCTGGGCTGCTCTCCCACCATAGCAAATCTCAAGTGCAACGTTCGTGTGGCACCGAGGGAGCGAGGAGCGAGGATCGCCGCAACTTGTGCCGGGAATCGCTACCTCTCGAGTGCTCTCTGGCAGGAAGACAGCTCTTGCTGTATGGCGAGCTGGTAGGTGAGACGGCTGTGAAAAGGAAAGGTTGTCGATGCGAGGCAATAAGATGACCCTTGAAGCGGTTTGTCGAGTAGGCGCTGCTTATAACGTCGTGCATTTAGTTGTATGGTTCTCTATAGCACTACGACGCGTCCTACAAACAGAGTTTGATCTCCCGGCGCGCCGTTCAACACTGTCCGATCTCCGGGCGCGCCGTTCAACAAAGTTCGATCTCCTGGCGCGCCGTTCAACGCTGTCCGATCTCCTTTTCAGCTTTTATCTGCACCGTAGGATTCAAGGCGTGATATCTTCGTTGGTAGTTCACTTAAAAGGAAACTAATTAATTCTATGTGATCCTCAAAGATTACGCTACACATTGGACCAATAATAAAATGCTATGATCTTGACGAACAGACGAACGAGGCGTTTAAACTTCCACCTCGCTGCAAACCCCGAAAAGGAGATCGGACACACTGGTAAAACAAAGGTGCGAATCACTACCTTTAAAAGGCTTTAACAAAGTTTAGTGCCTTTCCAAAGGCACTAAAGTTTAGTGCCTTTGAAAGGCATTAACTGTGACCTTTCACACCTTTAGCTGGCTAGCTTCATATGAGTTCCATACAAGTTTAGTGCCTTATTTGGAAAGGCACGAAACTTTAGTGCCCCAGGAAAGGCACGAAACTGCGCCCTTGACTTTAGTGCCCCAGGAAAGGTGTTGTTTAGTGCCTTTGTTTTACCAGTGCAGCGTTGAACGGCGCGCCAAGAGATCGAACTTTGTTGAGCGGCGCGCCCGGAGATCGGACAGTGTTGAACGCCGCGCCGGGAGATCGAACTTTGTTCGTAGGACGCGTCGACTAGTATTTTGTCATAGTCGGCGGTTGGGGTAGCTTTTAAAAGCTTGTCCAGCCCGGACATATCCAGCTTGCTGTGCCGCCGGGTCCTTGAGTGAAGGGCTCCCTTAGGCGCGGTTAGGCGCATTCCTCCCGGGGCTCCGCAGCAGAGCCAGGGTCGCCCCCCCCCCCACCTTCCTGCTGGGCCCACTCCCTATCCCTGAGAGGGGAAGCTCGTGTGCAAGGTCAAGATACGAGGTGGCTTGTTTAAACATTTCGCCCCCACGGTGCGCAAAGAGACTCGCGACTATACGCGCGCGGGCGCCACCATGACGACATGCATCGTGGTGACAGCGGCGGGAATTTCACACGTGTACTTTGCGCGGCAAATTTAAACTCACCGGCGGTATCTGCCCCGAATGCTTAAGCATTTGACCTCGATGTGGGCAAAGTCCCCCCGATATCTTTCCCCTAGCTTGCCCGGCCCCAGCCTTGCCTTAATTTTATCTTCTTCTCTTCGTCCCCTCTTCCCCGATGTGCAGGGCGAAAAGCAAAGTCTCGTTGTCGGACGCCATCGACGCTCAGCTGTTGGCGTCGCCTTTCCTGCAGGCGCCGCACGTCCAGTGCGCTCCGTTTGTTCATTCATTCTCTCTATGCCGGATGTTGCCGGCGCTGCTGTTCCCCAGGACCCTGCTGCTGCTGCTGCTGCTGCCGCTCGGGAGCTCCAGTTGCTGCTCTCGCTCCTCCTCCTCCTCTCGGCCGGCTTCAGAGATTGAAATGGTTGCGCTCGGCTTGCGGAGGCTTCAGTGGCCGCAAGGGACCTCGCCGGCTGTCTGGGCCGCGGGGTGGGGCGGGGGTGGAGGCCACATCGTGATCGCCCAGCCGCCAGACGCGGGTCGGCGCGGCCCACGCGGCAGCAGCAGCGCGCTGCCGCAGACATCTGCCTCCATTCCCAGCCCAAGCTGGTTGCGTGCGAGAGAGAAGGAGCTCTCTCTCTCTTACTCTC